TCAGGAGCTCGAAAATGGCGGCAATGGCGGGCTCCGCTGATCCGCACGGGTCCGAACATGGAGGCGGGGACCCCACAAGGCAGGGGCTCCCCGGAGACGCCGAAGGGCCCCGCGAGAGAGAGAGAGAGAGAGCAGCATCGCAGTCCGTTGCCGGCGCAGCTGGCAACAAAGAGGGCCGTCCGGCGGGGCCGCGGGGCCGGGCGGGGGGGACCGGCTGCACTGCCTGGGGCCGCGCCCTGGGCGTCCGGGGTGCCACTGGGAGGCGGGGAGCGAGCCATGGAGCGAGAGCGCGGAGGAGATCGTTTGAAGGGGCCCCAGGACACACAAATAAATACACACAAATCAAAATAATCCCCATACTTTCCCATATTTTCTGGGTTTTTGTCTTCCCCCCCAATTCCCATATTTTCCATATTTTCCGGGGAATCGCCGATGAATTGTGTCTGTGTGTTTCTTTTCCTCCTGATCGTTGCGCGGCGCCTGGCCAGGCGGCCCGGCCCAGGCGGTCACGATCGCCGTCGGAAGGGGGGCCGCCGCTGCTGCCACCTGGCGACCTGGAGCGCAGAGAGCCGCCGTGGTCCGCCAGGGACCCCCGGCGGGCGCGCCAGGCGACCGGGGTGGCAGAAGCCACCCGATCGAGATCTTGGCGCAGGAGCTCGCGCGCCCGCAAGCAACAATGAACACGCGCCGCGGGACGTGTGGAAAACCTCCCGGCTTCGTACGACGAATGCGAACCGAAAAAAATGTCCCCCACATAGGAAGGCACCAACTATACACCAACACCGATCCTGGCCAGGATCACCCTGGGCCCAGGATCGGTGTATACGCCCTCCTGCCTTGCGCAAGAAGGCATATACACCGATCCTGGGCCCAGGGTGATCCTGGGCCAGGATCGGTGTTGGTGTATAGTTGGTGCCCTCCGACCACATCACATCTCGAGGGCTCCAGGGTGGCAGATAGGGGACGCCGTGACAGAGCGCTGCAGGAAAGGAACCCGGGGCCTCCCGGGGCCCACTGGTCGGGGCCGCAGGCCCAGCTCTCGGGAAGGCCGTCGCTCCCCAGGGGGGGGGCAGCCGACCCGGACCCCCTCGGGTTGGGGCACGATCGCGACGGGAGGTTTTCGCTACTTTCGGCCTCCAGGGGCCCTTGCAGGGCCCCGGGGCCGTCAAGAAACAACTCGGGATGAGAAACCCGTCCCTGGGAGGGGGTGCGGACGTCTGGAGGTCGGCGTTGCGAAAAAAAATCACGACGTCGGGGGCCCGGGGATGGATAGAGCTCCAGCCCTCCACGATAGCACGGGGAAACCCTGGCCCAGGGCAGGGAGGTTCGGGCGCGCGCCCGAGACCAAGGTGGGGCACGATTTATGTCCATATCCACTGCGTCTTGGATTTTCTGGGAAAGGGCGCCAACAGGCCGCGGCGCAGTGGACATGGATAAAAATCGGACCTCTGTAGGGGCGAAATCGTTTTGTCCAGATCCACGGCGCCTCTGGAATCGGAGGAAGGGAACCCAAAACTCCAAGACTAGAAGAAGAAAAACTTCACAAACATTATCCCAGTGCGACCCTACCTAGAAGTTGGAGCCCCTAGGAAAGCAGCATTAGTAGTAACAGCAAAGCTAAGCTAAAGCTAAGCTAAAGCTAAGCTAAAGCTGGGCAAAAGCTAAGCTAAAGCTAAGCTAAAGCTAAGCTAAATCTAAGCTGAAGCTAAGCTCAAGCTAAGCTCAAGCTAAGCTAAAACTAAGCTAAAGCTAAGCTCAAGCTAAGCTAAATATAAGCTAAAGCTAAGCTAAATCTAAGATAGAGCTAAGCTAAAGCTAAGCTAAAGCTAAGCTAAAGCTAAGGTAAAGCTAAGCTGACGCTAAGCTAAAGCTAAAGGTAAAGCTAAAGCTAAAGCTAAGCTGAAGCTAAGCTAAAGCTAAGCTAAAGCTAAGCTACAGCTAAGCTAAAATTAAGCTGAAGTTAAGCTACAGCTAAGCTAAAGCTAAGATAAAGCTAAGCTAAAGCTAAGGCTAAAGGTAAAACTAAAGCTAAAGCTAAAACTCCCAGGGGACTGGGGGAACCGCGGGGCGGGGACTGGGGGAACCGCCCGGGGCGCGTTCCACTGCCCGGCCCCTTTAAGCTAAGAGAGTAAGAACCCTCTAGGCAGAGCCTAGGTAGGGAATAAACTGTTGGCGCTCCGCGCGGATATCTTGGATCCGCGCTGGAGCCCAGGGGCGGCGCCAGAGGCGCCGCCGTGGGGCCCAGCGCGGATCCAAGAAAGCCGTGCGCAGCGCCAGGTGTTTCTGTTTGCGGCGCTTTTTCTTCTTCGCCAGACGCAGTGGATGTGGATTGAAGTCTTGCCCGCACAGGGTCGGCGGTGGACAAACCTCCCTTTCGCAAACCTCCCCTTCATGAAAACGGCCTGGGACCGACACCGACGGAGCTGGACCCGCAAAAAGGACGGCCGCGACGCCCCCTCGCGAACCGAAAGCGGCCAGTTCACCAATCGACGTGTCAGGG